CTCTTACTAAAGAATCCGGCATACTATATCCATTGGTGAGTTTCAGTTGTTTACCGTAAGACATCTTGTGTTTAATGTAATGTCATAACCCAATTCATTGACTGGCTAAAACCCTGATCCACTATTCCAATTGTATTATTCTGGCTAGAACCACTATAATGCTGGTTTTGTACACCAAAACCTGCATAGACTCCGAAACCTAGTTCAACAACAGCGATTTTATTTATTAAACCTTTAAAGTTTTACGAAAGTCGGCTGGTATTTAGGGGTTTCTACGGGGCGGCATTTTCGCGATCTGTTAATTCAGTAAAGCACTTTTGGCCGATTAGACGCCAATTTCGAACAGTTGTGGAGAGAAGCTGAGAATTTCGCTTCTCTCCATCACTGATCGCTTGGCTTTTTCTATATCCTAGAATAGTAAAACACATCTAGTTTTAATTCTATCCAGGCGTAGACCTGGCGAGTGCCATGTTCTTACCATATCTTCAGAATACTTTGTGATATTTGTCTAATGAATGATCGTGAACTTCCAATTTGAAACGACTCTAGTAGATTAGGTTCAATGTTTTTTTTTTCCTTCTATATATTAAAACTATATCTATAGTAGTTGTATATATAGATATTTGCTGTATGTAGGACGCGTTATGGCACTTATAATTAATTTAAAATATATAGTAAATATACAAGCATACTATAGTTAATTTAACACACTCACATTAAGTAAAAATATATTAGAACAAATGCACGTATTAAATAAAATTTATACACATTGCAACATTTATAAATAAATAAAACTAAATTAAAAATTAATTATAATAAATAATTAAATACTTAAATGTAAAAAAAATATTTGTATTGTAAAATAAATAAAAAAAAAAATGGAATTAAATATAAAAGCAAAATATTATTAATAAATATTATATACATACTTATATATTGGTATACAACAACAACAGCAACTAAAAATAAATTAAAAAAATAATAATAAAACGAAATTACATTAAATAACAATAATTATTAAACTATTTGTTTTAATTCAGGGGAGAATGATAAATAATTGTAAAAAAAATTGATTGATTTTAACGTTCGACAATGGCAGTTCAAAAGTGGTGACTTTGACACCGAAAACATAGTTCTCCCAGACCAACCAGATGAGCTAAAAGTCATTACTCCATGAAGATTTTTGCAAAAATCAACAAGAGCTTTGGGCAACATTGGGAGCTATTTAACCAGCCATTTCAAAACGTTTTACCGAATTATTATTAGCGACGATAAATGGATCAATTACGGTAACTCGCAGCCCTTCTGGCTGTAAATATGTTTAGTTCTGCTTTCGACATATAGGATTTAAATCCAGTTTACATATTCCGTTATTACTTGGAATTCTGCCTGGAAGCAAGTGTAGCGATTGAGCAGACAGTAGCATAATTTGTTTTATGGACTTTCAATGCAGATTCCCATCCCAATTGGTTTCAACGTATATTGCTTTCCCTTATCGACCGTGATATGAGCTGAAAACATCTGTACGAGAGCCGGCACATTACCCCCATCATGCTGCCTTATATTGTCTACTAGCTTTACCAGTAGTCAGTTGTAATAATAATCTCCGGATAATTACCATCCCATCCTGCTGCCTTATATTGTTTACTATCTTAGTCAGTAGTTAGCTGTAATAACTTCCTCTATGTTCGACTCCCCTTCTTCAAATAACTGATCCTCTATGGCAGTCACGAGCAAAACTGAAATTCTAATGCACGCGTGCATAGGCCAAGAAATTCTGCTGACGCTTTGTTGACACACCTACACTATAAGCTTGTGTGTATTAGTGTGTCTGTGTTTTACTAAAATGACCACTTGTTTGTTGCTTTGTTACGATCTCAGAGATCAAAATCAAATCAGTTGCTGTTCAGCTTTTGTAGAAGCAAGATCACGTTGCGGATTTTTTATGCTTATGATTTTTTCTCTTTTATTACACCTAGCAAAATGTTTGATATAAATTGGGAAAATGATTTCTTTTTTATAGAAAACATGGACGGTGAGGCACAATGCGTCGTATGTTATAAAATTATATGTAGAAAAGCTTTATTTTTTTTGAAAAGGCATTATGAAACTTGCCATGGACCCTTAAATGATCTTAGGGGACATGACAGAAAAGTAAAGTTGTTGCAATTAAAAGGTTAACCGATCAACACATTGGTGACTTATTGCGTATTAAGGAATATAAAGGAAACATTGATTTGGATAGATTAGTTGAACTTTAAATTAAGTTCAGTTAATATCTCGGTAATATCCCTTAAAAGTTCGAAATCGAATAGAAAGTCGTGATTTTCTTAATGATATTTCAGTAGTTTTATTTAATACTACTTTTTAAAAATACTACTACTTTTCTTAAATGAAAAACTCTTTCCCTTTATTCCATTTTGTTTAAAATGCCCAAAAGTTCATGAGTTTTTCTCGTCGTAAAAAGTATTTGCAATAGAAAACAAATTTCAAAACTTTTCTCAGTGTACCACCATTTTGTTATAACGTGCAGTCATCTCTCTGCTGCTTAACGCACACAAATATACACATGGTGGTATGTGTTTGCCCATGACTGCTCTATGGTATCGCTAACAGTTGGGAAATGAGAGTCCATTAGGAGGAGTTTCTTCTCCTTCAGTCTCCAGCCCTTATAAACGAAGATTTCGATTGGACATGATTTTGGTATAGAATTTTTCTATCTTCGATGCGTCATTTAGGCACAGAAAAGTTTCCGGGGAACTTTTTCTACATATTCTTCTATATCCTCTCTATTTCGACTTCTGACTTAAACAGTTTTATAGTAAGATCCCGAATATGCTTCAATTTGTTCTAACTAACTAACTAACTAAACTAACTAACTAACTAACTAACTAACTAACTAACTACTAACTAACTAACTAACTAACTAACTAACTAACTAACTAACTAACTAACTAACTAACTAACTAACTAACTAACTAACTAACTAACTAACTAACTAACTAACTAACTAACTAACTAACTAACTAACTAACTAACTAACTACTAACTAACTAACTAACTAACTAACTAACTAACTAACTAACTAACTAACTAACTAACTAACTAACTAACTAACTAACTAACTAACTAACTAACTAACTAACTAACTAACTAACTAACTAACTAACTAACTAACTAACTAACTAACTAACTAACTAACTAACTAACTAACTAACTAACTAACTAACTAACTAACTAACTAACTAACTAACTAACTAACTAACTAACTAACTAACTAACTAACTAACTAACTAACTAACTAACTAACTAACTAACTAACTAACTAACTAACTAACTAACTAACTAACTAACTAACTAACTAACTAACTAACTAACTAACTAACTAACTAACTAACTAACTAACTAACTAACTAACTAACTAACTAACTACTAACTAACTAACTAACTAACTAACTAACTAACTAACTAACTAACTAACTAACTAACTAACTACTAACTAACTAACTAACTAACTAACTAACTAACTAACTAACTAACTAACTAACTAACTAACTAACTAACTAACTAACTAACTAACTAACTAACTAACTAACTACTAACTAACTAACTAACTAACTAACTAACTAACTAACTAACTAACTAACTAACTAACTAACTAACTAACTAACTAACTAACTAACTAACTAACTAACTAACTAACTAACTAACTAACTAACTAACTAACTAACTAACTACTAACTAACTACTAACTAACTAACTAACTAACTAACTAACTAACTAACTAACTAACTATTTGGCTTCGGTGGTGGTCGGAACCCTGCCCTTGCTTCAGCACGATTTTATCCCACCAGCTGAAAGAGTTCCCGTGACAGAGAATACATGTTCTCGTGTGAGGCCCTTTATCGGAATAGAGAAATTGGAAAATGTTCTTGCTTTAATCAAGAAATCCTGTTAAGCATCGCTGGATGGGCAAGTACAAAGATTTGATTATTTACATTTTTTGATGATTAATTTATCAGCTGTTGAACATTTATCTTTAAAATATAAAGAACATTTTGTTTTTTTTATTTGACTATTCTATTAAAAAATAGTTTGTTTTAGTTTATTAATTTAATATTTTTATTTTTTGTTTTAAATTTACATACAAAAAATATTAAGTTATTTTAATTTATTTTGCTGGTAATGTAGGATTTTTTTGTAAAATATGATTTGTTTTAAATAAATCTTTTATTTTTTAATATATTTTGATTCTATTGTTTTAATAATAACATGATTATAATGTTAACAAACTTTTTGTTTTTTGTTTATGTAAACGAAATATATAATTTTTGATTTTTTTTTACTTTTTATTATTTTCTTTTAAATTCCTTAATTAGCATTTTGATTTTGTATTGAGCATTTGTTTTTAAATTTTTAGGTATTTTTTTTTTTGTTATAGACACTTAGATTTTCTTAAATATAATATTTAGAATTTTATTTTCGTTTTTCTTATTTAAAAAAGAAATAATCATTAATCGGTGAGTGTAGTTTGAATTACTTAAATTATTAACTTTATGTGGAATTTTTCTAAATTAATATTAATGTGACTTATAATTGTAATCTAAAGGTAATTTAATGATGTATAAATAAAGTAATGTAAAATTAAATCAAATTTAAAAATATTTAACAAACAAAATGTTATCTATAAATAAACAAATTAATACGGAAATTTCTAAAATTAAATTATTTAAAAATTTAGTTTATTCATTAATTGCAAACATTTTTGTATGCAAATTGAATTTTTTAATTTGAGGGATTTTACAATGCATATTTAAATATTTATATAATAATAATTCTTTTTTTAGTCTTAATTCGTTTGATAAAAAATGTTATATTTATAAATGACTAGAAAAAATATATGTGAATTATTAAACATTTTTTATTCAAATATTTTAATAAAAATAATCTTAATAGATAACTATCGGATAACAATTCGTCAAAAATATGAAATCTATCAGAGCAGCATCAGATTTTTAATGTTAAACAATTGTAAATTTAGTTCTTTTTTCCCAAAACCATTTTCATTCAATATATGAAAAGTTCATAAATACAATGACAGAATTAGTTTTCCTTTTTTACTTATTTTCAATTAATATTTCGTAAGAAAAATCTATTACCTATTAATCTGTTTCTATATATTTTAGATAATTTCCATATTTAGCGAATTTTTTGAAGATAAATAGACAAGAATAGAAATCAAGGTCTCAAATTAAGGGTTATGTGTAGTTTCTAAATAACTATAACACAGGACGACAAATTGTTAAACAAGATTGAGGAAAGAATCCGAATCTGGTCTCAGAATTTCTCCATTTCTGGCAATACAGATATAGTGTCTTGAAGTTTGAAAAAACGTATTTTTCTGTCTATTTTTGAGACATTATAACAGTGCCAAAAAGTCCATTGTATGACGTCTATAAGTCCATTCTGTCATCTAATATATCTTCATTCTTCTTTGAGATATCTTCACCCAAAGCTTGATATAACAATACATTTTTTCGTCCTTTTTTGCCTCTATTTTTTTAAAACATATATGTTTCAATTTCCTAGGAAAACACTTTTTGAATTGTTATAGAAATCTGCTGTAGTTTCTGAGATATCAACCACTGATGTTGACAGATGGACATCGTTAAGTCAAATCAGAAACTGATTTTTAGATGTGGATCCAATATTTTTATTCGTTATAAATATAAAGCATAATACCATCCACATTATAGTAGTGTAGGTTATAAATACCACGAATATACCGAAAACTATGAGTTTTCAAGCTTTATGTAAAGATATCTCGAAAAAGAAAGAAGATATGTCAGATGATAAGCCTGTTCAGATGGTATACTGAACAGGCTGTTATAGCGTCTCAAAAAGCGGCAAAAATTTTCAAATTTCAGAACAGGATATCTCAAATCCTAGATTTGATGGAGAAAATCTAAGGTCAGATTCGTATTCAGAGCGGTCCAATCCTTAAGAAACGACCTACATAATTGGTCTCATGGACATTAAAATTATTCAACTTATTTCAATAGAAATTGTAAAACTTATAATGATTGAATGTTGACAGTTTGCTAAGGGGCGTCATATGGGGCGTGTGGGCTCAAATAGGGTACAGAGATTTTGATTCCTTTAAACGTTATTTAAGTCAAATTTCATCGCTATACAGTTATACGAGTTGAAGTATATAGTTTTATAAAGGACTATAAGGGTAAAAACTCATTGTTAAAGGTCGAAATATTGGCCGTAGACCCTCAAAACTATCTATATCTGTTCGTCTCTCTTTCAGTCGAAAGCTAGAGTGCTGAACTTTTGCACAATTATTCTTTTTTGAAAAGGTTTGTTTGTTATTGAATAGAAGCCATATGGATCTAAAGCAGTTCCTACTGGAATGTTATTGGAGCGGCTAATCGAACTACCATCTAACGGAGTTAGAACTCCTCGAGGCATAGCAGAAAAGATCATCACCTGTATGAGATCGACATTCAAGAACATCAGGATGCAACTTAGAGAAAACAACTTTAAATACTATCCACCAAAAAGCGGTGGAAGACTCCATCAATACCCATTGGGTGGTCGTCCCCTACCCATTGCAAAGGAGAAATGAAACCTAACACGTTGCACTAGAGTGGTATTGATGCCATTAAGATCGGTATGATGTACCCTTTTGAACTCGTATTGGTTGAGGAAAAACAACAATATTCATGATCATGGTCCTAGATGTGGTATAGGCCCACACAATGTTCAACATCTATTTAACTGCAGGACAAATCCAACTAAACTGGAACCTGAATCTCTTTGGACCCAGGCAATAGATGCGGTTTGTCTACTGGATTTAGATCTAACTGATTTAAATAAACAGATCGAAGAAGAAGAAGAGTAGGGAATAATTTAACTATATATTTGTATAATTCTAAATGTCGCTGCTATAACAACAACGATTTCATTTAGCCCCCAAAATAAGTGTTTCCGGAAATAAAGTTTAAAGAATAATAATTACGTTAATAAGACAGCAATCGTTTTAAAATTTTACTAGGACTTTCAGAATATACATATATATAAAATCTCATGAAACCCATAAAAATATTAAAAAAGTCAAAGGTAGCCTTTTCCGAGTCCCATAGCGTCGCACTAGGGGGGTTTGTAATAGGAATTATCTTCAAAATGTTAACTCAACTTTTGCTTGACCAAGTTGTTTATAAATGATTTTCTAAAAAAGTTAGATTCTACACTACGGTGCACAGGGGATATGGACCAACGAACTACATATAGACTTCTTTAGTAAAACTACGTTTAAGAATCTACGTTTATAAATCCAGATTCGTGAGTGAATATTTAGTTGAATTGTAATTTAAGGAATCAGACTAGAGAAGACTTTATAGGAGGATTGAATTAAAACAATAACTTCTAATAAGTGTAATACTTGTACTTCGAAATTTCGAATCGCAAAGTTTCTTGAATCGGTGCCATGATGTCTTTAATTATCGAACGAAACTTATGAACTAAAATGTGAAAGAGTTATCTTTGGACTCTACTTTACTATTTTTTAAGCTTTTTACAGATAAATCGGGGCATGATTCAAAAGAATAATATCTTCGAGATATTATAGCTAATACAAAATTGTATATTCCTGTTGTCTAACCGCCAAAACTCAGTAACTATTTTTAAACTAAATTTCTTTATTATATAATCCTAACAAATTATTTTCTTTTTCCAAATTTAAGGCATTTTAATACATGAGTAAATCTATAGGGGAGAAACCTCTACATAAATCTAACAAATAAAAAATATAACGTATAATAAATCTATAGGTATATCCTTAGCTTTTCATCTATTACAAAATAGCAGAGAAGTAATAAAAACACCAGAAATCGGCTATTTTACAAAGATTACAAAACTAAGTACATATATATACAACAACTATTTATGATCAGACTTCTAGCACATACACATAAAATATATAGTTTAGACATAGATTGAACCTTTGCTGACCTTACTTAACTATATAAATATAGAGCTTATTTCAATAGCTAGGAACTTATATTGTAATAAGTACTCAATACTACTACCACTATTTCTTTACATCCTTTTTACAATTTAAGCTCTCGTGTATGCGATTTTCTTCCCCCATTCACTCGCACGCAATTTTACCATCAAAACTACTTAAAGCAATGGCAAAGGCTTGCAAAGCACACAAGGGATAACGATAGTCCATAGTGAAAACATCTTCTGAAGTACGTCCAAACTGCATGACGATATAATCAGGATCTGAATCGTGTACAAGTTGGAAATTTTTCACTGAAGCCTGTGTAACACGTCCGTGAAAATTCAAAACATACGATTGAGTTTCATCATTCCAAACAGGGGTTTTATTATGCAATTCCACAATGTTGTCGAGATTCTGTAAAAAGTTAAATTTTCAGAATTTTCCATTGTATCAGTTATAAGGACAATATTTGTTGTTAGACTTACTTTACATTTCCATAAATCCATAATACCTTGTTGTTTGGGATCAGCTGAACTGATTTTTACTCTTTGATCATCTTCAGTCATACCAGGCAGTATAACGGTCATATTTCTTGGTCCCTTAAAACCCAAAATATTAGTGTCCTATGGAAATTTTTGAGAGAAATAATTATAGTTTTAATAACAATTTAAGAAAATCCTAGACACAGTCGTCCAGACTATAGACTAGACTATAGTCCAGACTATAGACTAGACTATAGTCGAGACTATAGACTAGACTATAGTCCAGACTATAGACTAGACTATAGTCGAGACTATAGTCTAAACTATAGTCCAGACTATAGACTAGACTATAGTCCAGACTATAGACCAAACTATAGTCCAGACTATAGACTAAACTATAGTCCAGACTATAGACTAAACTATAGTCCAGACTATAGACTAAACTATAGTTCAGACTATCGACTAGACCATAGTCCAGTCCAGTTTATAGTCTGGACTTTAGACCAGACTATGAACTAAACTTTAGTCCTAATCTATAGTCTGGACTAAAGTTTAGTCTATAGTCCGGACTAAAGTTTAGTTCATAGTCCGGTCTAAAGTCCAGACTATAAACTGGACTGGACTATAGTCTAGTCTATAGTCTGGACTATAGTCTGGACTATAGTCTGGACTATAGTCTAGTCTATAGTCTGGACTATAGTCTAGTCTATAGTCTGGACTATAGTCTAGTCTATAGTCTGGACTATAGTCTAGTCTATAGTCTGGACTATAGTCTAGTCTATAGTCTGGACTATAGTCTAGTCTATAGTCTGGACTATAGTCTAGTCTATAGTCTGGACTATAGTCTAGTCTATAGTCTGGACTATAGTCTAGTCTATAGTCTGGACTATAGTCTAGTCTATAGTCTGGACTAGTCTAGTCTAGTCTGGACTAGTCTAGTCTAGTCTGGACTATAGTCTAGTCTATAGTCTGGACTATAGTCTAGTCTATAGTCTGGACTATAGTCTAGTCTATAGTCTGGACTATAGTCTAGTCTATAGTCTGGACTATAGTCTACTCTATAGTCTGGACTATAGTTTAGTCTATAGTCTGGACTATAGTCTAGTCTATAGTCTGGACTTTAGTCTATAGCCTGGACTATAGTCTATAGCCTGGACTATAGTCTAGTCTATAGCCTGGACTATAGTCTAGTCTATAGTCTGGACCATAGTCTAGTCTATAGTCTGGACTATAGTCTAGTCTATAGTCTGGACTATAGTCTAGTCTATAGTCTGGACTATTGTCTAGTCTAGTCTACACTATAGTCTGGACTATTGTCTAGTCTATAGTCTGGATTATAGTCTAGTCTAGTCTATAGTCTGGACTATAGTCTAGTCTATAGTCTGGACTATAGTCTAGTCTATAGTCTAGTCTATAGTCTGGACTATAGTCTTGTCTATGGTCTGGAGTATAGTCTTGTCTATAGTCTGGACTATAGTCTTGTCTATAATCTGAACCATAATCTTGTCTATAGTCTTGTCTATAGTATGCACTATAGTCTTGTCTGTAGTCTGGACTATAGTTTGGACTATAGTCTGAACTAAAGTTTAGTTTATAGTCTATCGGCTGGACTATAATCTAGTCTATCGGCTGGACTATAATCTAGTCTATTGGCTGGACTATAGTCTAACCGATAGTCTGGACTATGGTCTAGTCTAAAGTCTGGACTATAGTCTTGTCTATAGTCTGGAGTATAGTCTTGTCTATAATCTGGACTATAGTCTGGAATATAGTCTGGACTATAGTCTAGAATATAGTCCAGTATATAGTTTGGAATATAGTCCAGTCTGTAGTCTGGAATATAGTCCGGTCTATAGTATGGACTATAGTCAAGCCTATGGTCAGAATTATGGTCAGCCTATTGTCAGGGTTACAGTCTAGTCTATAGCCTGGGCTAGTCTGTTTTATAGTCTAGTCTATGGTCTGTACTACAGTCTAGTCTATAATCTGGACTATAGTCAAGTCTGTAGTCTGGACTATAGTCTAGTCTACAGTTTGGACTGTAGTCTAGTCTACAGTCTGGGCTAAAGTATAGACTATATTCAGGACTATTGCCTTGTCTATAGTTTAGTCTATAATCTGAACTATAGTCACGACTCAAGTCTGAATTATAGTGAGGCCTATAGTCTATAGTGTGGAACATTGTCTAGTCTATAGTCTGGAACATTGTCTGATCTATAGTCTGGATTATTGTCTTGTCTATAGTCTAGAATATAGTTAAGTCTATAGTGTGGACTATAGTCTAGTCTACTGTCTGGACTATAGTCAAGTCTATAGTCTGGACTGTAGTATAGGTTACAGTCTCGACTCTAGACTCGGCTGTACTCTAGCTTACAGTCTGTACTATAGTAAAGTTTATGGTCTAAGTTATGGTCAAACCTATAGTCTAGGCTATAGTACAGTCTAAAGTCTGGATTATAGTTTTATCTATAGTCTGTTCTATAGTAAAGTCTATGATCTAAGTTATAGTCAGCCCTATAGTCTAGGCTATAGTACAGTCTAAAGTCTTATCTATAGTCTGCTCCATAGTCTTGTCTATAGTCAGGATTATAGTCTAATATATATTCTGCTCTGTTGTCTAGTCTATCAGCTGAACTATAGTCTTATCCTTAGGCAGGATTATCAATAGTCTGGACTTACATATATTATAACAGCTAAATCCAGTCTAGGACTTTCCGCATTCTCCTTACTGCCACTATCATACACCGTAAACGAGGTACCAAAAACATTCGATCTTAATTTCCCACAAAAACCCTCAGCATTGCGTGACAAATCGGTTGGATCACAACTGATAATATAATTCGATGTTTTACTCTTCTTACGTTTACGGCCACCCAACAAAAAGATCTTTTTACCATAATCTCTTTCCAAGTGTAAATAGTAAATGGGAAATAGACCACGATCCATACCCTTGCGATCACGTGTTATGCGACACTTATAGAGAACACCTTGTGGGGCAGGTTGCATAACAAAATGTTCTATGTTACCAATAAGATCGCCCTCGGGTTCAGCAGATTCTGAAGCATTGCCATCAGTTTCATCTTTACCACTACCAGTCTTGGAAATATTCGATGAACTGACTTGTTTGGCCGGCATAACAGGTGCAGCATGAGCAATATTATTGCGATTGGCGTAATCTTCTTCGTCCAAATCATCGTCAAACGATTGTAGGCGACTACGTGGTTGTCGAGGCTGAGAGGAGGCTGAATTTGTAGAACTACTGTGCTGATGATGTGGCGTTTCGGCCAACATAACGACAGGACTACTTTCCTCATCCTCCAGGTCATGTGTGGAAAGTTCCTCTATTAAATCTGAAATCGAATCAAGTTAGTAAAAAAGGGTCGAAAACTTTTTGCAAAAGGTACCTTCATCCTTATGAGTATTTAAACGTTTGGGCGTATTCTGGCTGTGATTAGAATTATTTACATATTTGACACTATTTTTCGAGACCGTTGTAGTACTGGTTCCAATTGTGGCATTAATGGTGGTAGTGTTACCCAGAATTTGATCTGGATTTTGGGGTGAGCTAATAAATTGCATTGGTCCATCGTAGGCGTGCATTTCACGACTATTGCTTGTTCTTAGACCCGACATGGGACGGTTTATTTGTAAATCACTGGCCTGCACCATACCGGGAGAGGCACGTTTTTGTCGTATATAAGCCTCCATTAGTTGGCGCTGTAAGCAAAAAAATAAATTGTATTAATAATATTAATTAAAGTTTACGTTTTTATTATTTCAATTAATTAAAGTCTATTGCATGAAAATATTATAAAATTAAATTTATTGTAAAAATGTCTATGTATGTGTTTCTTGGAAATTTTCAAAAGTAATTAAATTTTAACTGCCCACAGCATGTTATCAAGTAATTATTTAAAGGATTATTTTCAAACTACATATTGCGATTTTCTCTATCCTTGGGGGCAAACGTTTAAAGTTGTATTAGAATAATTTGTTGTAGAAATTAAATTTTCAATCAATTAATTTAATTGTAAACATATTTTCTTCCTTAATTTAAAGCTGCTAAGTTATGGTGTTTAATAATTTCAAATAAATATTGGAAATTCAGTTTGAATTTCATCCTTTTTTATGGCATAATAAATGTGTTGATTTATTTGCATTATTTATAAGTAGAATATTTATATGTATGTACATACATACACACACACATACATATACATAATAACTATACAATTATCTATAGTTTATTAGACTTCTGCAAAATTATAAAGAGGATAATAATCAGTTCGGGATATGACCGATAATTTCCTTACAAGTGTTTTGTAGGGATTGAAAATAAAGAGAAAGAGTAAAGCATTAAGATATGCTGAAATCTCAAAGCAAACTAAAGGTCTGAATAGATAAAATAGGCATTATTTTTGTACCAACTAATGTTATGGTTTTAGTTCAGTGCTACTACTGTTCAGTTCTACTGTTCTAGTTCTGTTGTAGTTCTGTTCTAGTTCCGTTCTAGTTCTGTTCTAGTTCTGTTCTAGTTCTGTTCTAGTTCTGTTCTAGTTCTGTTCTAGTTCTGTTCTAGTTCTGTTCTAGTTCTGTTCTAGTTATGTTCTAGTTCTGTTCTAGTTCTGTTCTAGTTCTGTTCTAGTTCTGTTCTAGTTCTGTTCTAGTTCTGTTCTAGTTCTGTTCTAGTTCTGTTCTAGTTCTGTTCTAGTTCTGTTCTAGTTCTGTTCTAGTTCTGGTCTAGTTCTGTTCTAGTTCTGTTCTAGTTCTGTTCTAGTTCTGTTCTAGTTCTGTTCTAGTTCTGTTCTAGTTCTGTTCTAGTTCTGTTCTAATTCTGTTCTAGTTCAGTTCTAGTTCTGTTCTAGTTCTGTTCTAGTTCTGTTCTAGTTCTAGTTCTAGTTCTTCTAGTTCTGTTCTAGTTCTGTTCTAGTTCTGTTCTAGTTCTGTTCTAGTTCTGTTCTAGTTCTGTTCTAGTTCTGTTCTAGTTCTGTTCTAGTTCTGTTCTAGTTCTGTTCTAGTTCTGTTCTAGTTCTGTTCTAGTTCTGTTCTAGTTCTGTTCTAGTTCTGTTCTAGTTCTGTTCTAGTTCTGTTCTAGTTCTGTTCTAGTTCTGTTCTAGTTCTGTTCTAGTTCTGTTCTAGTTCTGTTCTAGTTCTGTTCTAGTTCTGTTCTAATTCTGTTCTAGTTCTGTTCTAGTTCTGTTCTAGTTCTGTTCTAGTTCTGTTCTAGTTCTGTTCTAATTCTGTTCTAGTTCAGTTGTAGTTCAGTTCTAGTTCAGTTCTAGTTCTGTTCTAGTTCTGTTCTAGTTCTGTTCTAGTCTATTCTAGTTCAGTTCTAGTTCTGTTTAGTTCTGTTCTAGTTCTGTTCTAGTTCTGTTCTAGTTCTGTTCTAATTCTGTCTAGTTCAGTTCTAGTTCAGTTCTAGTTCAGTTCTAGTTCAGTTCTAGTTCTGTTCTAGTTCTGTTCTAGTTTCTGTTCTAGTTCTGTTCTAGTCTGTTCTAGTTCTGTTCTAGTTCTATTTTAGTTCAGTTCTAGTTCTGTTTTAGTTCTGTTCTAGTTCTGTTCTAGTTCTGTTCTAGTTCTGTTCTAGTTCTGTTCTAGTTCTGTTCTAGTTCTGTTCTAGTTCTGTTCTAGTTCTGTTCTAGTTCTGTCTTAGTTCTGTTCTAGTTCTGTTCTATTCTGTTCAGTTCTGTTCTAGTTCTGTTTCTAGTTCTGTTTCTAGTTCTGTTTCTAGTTCTGTTCTAGTTCTGTTCTAGTTCTGTTTTGTTTGTTCTGTTTAGTTCGTTGTATTCTGTTGTAGTTCTGTCTGTATGTTCTGTTCGTAGTTCTGTTCTAGTTCTGTTCTAGTTCTGTTCTAGTTCTGTTGTAGTCTGTTCTAGTTCTGTTCTAGTTTCTAGTTCTGTTCTAGTTCTGTTCTAGTTCTGTTCTAGTTCTGTTCTAGTTCTGTTCTAGTTCTGTTCTAGTTCTGTTCTAGTTCTGTTCTAGTTCTGTTCTAGTTCTGTTCTAGTTCTGTTCTAGTTCTGTTCTAGTTCTGTTCTAGTTCTGTTCTAGTTCTGTTCTAGTTCTGTTCTAGTTCTGTTCTAGTTCTGTTCTAGTTCTGTTCTAGTTCTGTTCTAGTTCTGTTCTAGTTCTGTTCTAGTTCTGTTCTAGTTCTGTTCTAGTTCTGTTCTAGTTCTGTTCTAGTTCTGTTCTAGTTCTGTTCTAGTTCTGTTCTAGTTCTGTTCTAGTTCTGTTCTAGTTCTGTTCTAGTTCTGTTCTAGTTCTGTTCTAGTTCTGTTCTAGTTCTGTTCTAGTTCTGTTCTAGTTCTGTTCTAGTTCTGTTCTAGTTCTGTTCTAGTTCTGTTCTAGTTCTGTTCTAGTTCTGTTCTAGTTCTGTTCTAGTTCTGTTCTTGTTCTTTTCTAGTTCTGTTCTAGTACAGTTCCAGTTCAGTTCCAGTTCAGTTCAGTTCAGTTCCAGTTCAGTTCCAGTTCAGTTCCAGTTCAGTTCCAGTTCAGTTCCAGTTCAGTTCCAGTTCAGTTCCAGTTCAGTTCCAGTTCAGTTCCAGTTCAGTTCCATTTCAGTTCTTATTAAATAATTTTGGAACAGACATCTCCATATTTATCTCATCTGAAAGCCCTATAATTTCCCTATAAATTTTATTGAACTCCCTTAATGCACTTAATTGTAAATATGTTTGTATGTACGTATGAATGTTGGCATTTATAATAAGAAAATAATTGCTTAATTTATACAATATTTTATATAAATAATTTAATGTGATGCAAATAAATTTACACTAGAGCGAAGCAAATAATAATAAAACAGAACAGATAAATTAAATAATAAAATGCAAACTATTAAACAAACATTTCATTTAATAATTCTTTTAAATTTTAATTATAATGGATAGTTATGGTTATTAAATTTACACAATATTTAATATTTAAAACACTAATGATTTCTGTATTTTTGTTTAATTTTCATTAACTAATGCATACAAAATCTTCAATGAATATTATTATAAAAGTATTTTTTTTTTTTTTAAAGTAATCCTCTCTTTTATTTATCTTACTACGATTTCATGTGTAATCTATAAATTCTTTGTCAACTATCTAAGGGCTTAATACATATGTAATGTAATTGAAGTAAAAAAATATATCATCTCAAAGACAAAACAGACACAATCATCATAGTTTCTGTAATATAATATGAACTGGAAATCAAAAATTATTGCTCAGTTTAGTTTTGAAAGCAATTATAGAACAATTTCGCATACGGGTATTCATTCTAAGTATTGTTCTCAAAAGTTTATTCAAGTATTTATTGTGATTGCAATAATAATTCAAAACGTATTAGGGTGTTTAGTTTTCAGGAATATTTTGCTATATCCGTCCATTCTTCTCTCTTTCTATCTTCTGACTGAATATAGAACAGACTATCGTCGAGATATTAGTTTATGTTATATGTAGACCAGACGATAGTCCGAACCAGACTACTTCCTTAGATTATAAGCGATACTATAGCTTAGACTTTAGTCCAGATTATAGCAATGATTATAGTACACACTAAAATTCAAACAATAGCCCCGACTATAGTCCATTCTATAGTTCAAGCTGTATTCTAGACAATGGAACAAACTATAGTCCACTATAGAGTCACGACCCTAGTAAAGAGCAGACTACCTATTGAAAACCCGATAGATCTCGAAGGGAAGGTGTTATATGCCGGAAATTTCTATCTGTCTGTCTGCCTACTGAAAATCCAATGCAGCATGACTAATCATAATCCGATTTGACTAAAATTTTCAAAATACTCCCTAATATTTATATGAAAATTTATATTTTCTCGTCGTTACAAATAAAATCATCTGTATTTGAATGACTGACTGATAGCAAAAGCTTTAAATGTTCATTCAGGCATTAACATTTATTTGTCTATATCTTCACAAATGTATTAGAATATGTTCCTGTTGATGTTATTTCTTACTCGTTTTTTGTCGTTGTTGTTGTTGTGTGACGATTATATTTGATGAACTAAGGGTAGAAAGGATTCCCAGAAGCATTTTCAATCTAAAGTATGAGATACTATGTTTTTGAGGGAAGTGTATGAATGTAGGTGTAGGTTTGCATATAAATTTGTTATCATGAACTGCATATAGTGGTACCCAATATGGGTATTCGTAGTAGACAGCAAAAAAAAAATAAAATAACTCACGACGATATCGATATACATAGAGTTACAATAATCTGAATCGCTTTAACTCATAACTAACTGAAGTTTTTCAAATAAGAGTATACAACTGATTTTAAATTTAGTTTCCATATTGTTCAACATTACAGATTTCAAGTGAATATCCCAATTAATTTAACGTCATATTCACATATGCATGATTTCATACTAGAAGTTTGAATAAATAGAAAAACCCCATAAATGTGGGAAAAGACAAGAACTAATCTGTTTTTCAAATTGTTGACAGTTTTGATGTGGTGGCAGAAAAATATTATTTAACACATACTAAAAGCAAAATGAAGTATAGTCGGACCTTTTGTTACCCTTTAAAAATTTAAAGTGATTTTTTGGAAGGTGGCCCTAATGTAAACGATACAGACCATAGTATAATACTAATACCATTGTCCAAACTGTAGAACAGACTACAGTCCAGTCTATAGTCCAGATTATAGTCCAGACCATATTCCATAATATAGTCCAGACTATATTCCATAATATAGTCCAGACT